CCGTGTTCCTGGTCATCCAATCTATAAAGTCGGGCACAATTTAACTGGTTTTAACTTATAAGGTGGGATAGTCCCTTTAAAGGGTGGCGTCATAAAAGCCAGTGTCATCAAAACACTTCTTAGCCTTCAATCGTTAGCCCGTCTCCTTATGCTAGGCCATAATACATATAAGTCATTATGGAAAAGTTTGCGTACCTACGGGCAGTGCCGTAAGAAAATGCCACGCTTTATTTGAGCTTCAATTGCTGTGGCCGCCACATTTAGCGCCACCCACGCTGTGATTGGTTAGAGTGCCGCTGACGTCATAGATGGTGCTGAGCTCAGAACGCTCTGGCAGGTGGCTGGTGGGAGAACCGCTCCGGTCACGGGTGCATCTGTCAGATGAATGAGCGTAATTCCCCGTGCCACCAGGGCAGCCCAGTGCTGCACTGGCATTACGTGGGCAGTCCAGTGCAGCACTGGTACCTATTAGGTGGAGGTGGAGGTTCAGAAACGGAAACTGACCTTTGACGGGCTCGTGTTTTAAAAGAAAGCGGTTCTGTTAGGGTTTCAGCGTAGGTTGGGTAGGCCAAAGTGGTTTAAAATGGAGAATGGAATCGACGCATTGATCTTTATTTAAACATTCCCTTAAAGCTACTTGCAATTAAAATCTGGCTTAACACCTTCGGCGAGAAGCTCCTGTTTGAAAAAAAAACTAAATATAATCCAGGTCTATTGCCCAAAACACCAATAATGCCCATAGCCATGTGAGATAGGTGGTACCGTCCTACTCCATTGCCTTTTTTCTTTGTTGACTTTAACGTCGTTGACACAAAGCGCCCGTAATGCGACGGAGCTTGAGCAGGGAAGTGTAATGAGCTGGATAATCGACTGGGCCTTACGAGTCCGGTCACGAAGACCACACGCTCCGTGAAAGCCGACCGGGTCAATGGCTCTAATGGCTATGGCGCCGTGAACCGAACGATTAATGCCAGTGATTCAGAAACGCTAGTGCTACTGCTGTGATTTGATGGATTCAAAAATAGAACCACTTGTTCCAGTGTGCCCATCGTGACTTCAGGGTGACTTTGCAATACTTTTAGTTGACGTTCTCGGTCCGCTCTGCACGGGCATCACGTTCACATATTTGGCTGATGTGAGGTCGATCCCCCGCTGACGAATTCTCTCAAGAGAATCGCCGCCTGCGGGTTCACAACGGTGCCCCCTTAGACGAGAAAAAAACTAGTTACCTAATAAAAAAAATCACTGCCGCGTGGCTGTTTGTCTCCACGGTTTCATCTAATATCTGTTTCCATGAATTATTCGCTTTATTTAACTTCGTACTAGGTAGGTGAAACGTTTCTTCTTCATTTATTATAGAGCGGACTGCGGAGCCTACAGCACCGATGGACAAAATTTGTGGGAAATAACGGTGGAGCAGAGCGATTTAGGTGAAATATTACATGCTTAGTAAGCACGTGTGTTTCGTGCACAGGAGGCCGGCGCGACCGTTCACGTCAGCTACCTGAACCAGCGGTCGGTGAGACGTCCGACGGCATTACTGCAGCTCTGGGGAAAGGCCGGCAATCACCGCAGCTTGTCCCGGGACTGATTGCCAATCGAGAGAAGCCGCCTCCCGCATTGCGTCTCTCACAAAAAAAAGCGAACGAGGTTACATAACAGAGGTTACGAGAGTCGTGTAACATATCCAAGGGCGAGGCGCGTGCCCAATGATCCATTCACGTCTACACAGTTCATAGTTGCCATAGCTGGCTCTGACTTTATGTGAATAAAAGGGTAGCCAAGCCAATTATTTATGTTACGATGGATAGATTGTAGCATAGACCTCTGTATACCGAGGTATACAGAGGGTGGCTGTGATTGTAGACATAAGTAGGATGGCATATATGAAACATTTATCAGCTCACAGCTTCATTTCAGTATAATTACCTTCATACAGGAGACTAAATGCGAACGGCGGGTGAATAACGATTTCCGGAGCCAGCAAAAATAGGTTAGTTGTCATTGACTTTGGTCCTCTATATTACCTATGCTGGAAAAGTTATTATGAATGAAATGCAATGTCATAAATACAAAATGAAAGTAAATATCATCTAGCTATGCATGATATTAATACCACTAAAAGGTCGGCCTGAACTTTTTCATTAAAAAATGTTTGTCTGGTTTCATTCATTCCCCTCTATCTATATAAGCAGTTTATTGATTTGTGCAGTTTTAGGGCATTGTGAAATGAGCGCTACATGCAGGTAGAACATGCAGTAAGCCTATGACGTAGCAATGTAGTTTTAATATGGCATGAACTGCATCAACTTCCCTTCCCTGCATGAACTAACAGCAAAGCGAAGCCTTGTTTGGTGGAAAGTCGCTGCATGCGTGAAACATCCGTAATGTTGCATTCAGCATTTGCACATAATTAATACCCTTGATATATATGCCTATAGGTTTATCTTCTTTGACGATAGCAAATATTATGAAAACGGTGACTGTTTTACAAACATTCCTTACGCCGAAGTTTTTTTTTACCACTAACAAGAGTATTGAAATAAGAACTCTACATACAGTCTACACTCTACAGTGTTAGAAACCTTCAAATGATATAGGGATTAACACGTTGGCAGCAAACGACAGTGTCGCTGGGTTCAACAACCCAACCGTTAAGTACAAAACATGACATCCAGCACTCACTTGTTACGTGTATCCTACATCGTCCAGGAGCCACATCACGGCCACAAATCGGTCAGCTCCCCCACAGTCCTCCGCCGACTGACCACCCCTGGCTGCGACAGCCGCACTCTGTCCTCCCGCCGGGAGCCGCGTCTGTCGGCCTCCGGAGCCGCCGCCGCCCCCGCCGCCGCGCCGACCGTCACAGGTACACTGGCCGCCTATTGACCGGCCGCGCGCCGTCACCGACGACCCGCCGACGACGGCGACGCGGTGCGTCGGGCGGCGTCGATACGACCAGGTGCGCCGCCGGAGACCTGTGGCACGCTCCAGTTCGACGGGCCGGCGCTCGGCAGCTCCACCGCGGTCGACCCAGACCCGGCTGACTGAGGGAAGGGGAGACGTCTCGGTTAGTTCCGCCGTCAGACGAGCGTCGGACGGCGGCGGCGCTCGTCTGACTTCGCGGAAGGGCTCGTTGCGCCTCGTCTGATGGATGTTTCGAGGAGTTGAAGTGGGCGGAATTCGGCGTCGGTACGAGGAAGCGGCTCCGTAGTTACGTGCCAGCTGCGACTTCTGTGAAGTTGAGAGCCGAGAGGCGGCTGCGCTTTTGTCAGACATGACACGGAAGTGCAGTCGGAATTGTCGTCGTTCTTGTGGGATATGACAAGTCGTTGCCGTTATAAGGCGAGCACACAGCCAGTGATGTTAAATTTGGAGAAAAAAAATGTCGTCGATGTGTCGGCGGAAACCCATGCAGTTGGCGTCAATTAACACCCGTCTCAAGGTTCCGAAGGGAAATCAAAGCATTTTATGCACCCTGCCGAAGCAAAAGCGTGACCAGTGTCAAGTTGTGTGCTTTGCACCGTGTGGCGAATCTTCAGGCTGCAAAGCTGATCAGTTGAAATTGAAAATCCACCAATGTGCTAGCCCGCATTTCATTTCATTTCAAAACACTAAAATGGTCAGGGTTTTTGTGCTCAGACGGGTGTTTTCAACAGAAGAGTTATTGGTCGAACAATCCATTTACAAGCGAGCTATCACCCATCTAAAATTCAGTTTCAGCTCTCCGAATTGGCAGAGCTGACTGCAAAACGGTCGGCACGATAACCCGTCCTAATGTGGGCCGGTCAAAATAACACATAAATGAAAACGCATGTTTCATCTTAACGCCCATAACAAGTGACAGAAATCTATTCGACCCTGACCTTTACGCAACTAGTTGTTTATGCACCTCCACGAAATGAAACTGACACTTGACAGGCTTCCTCTTTCCTGCTGCACGACCCAAACATCCTCGCTGCGTGTGCAGCTAGTTTCGCTGATGCGTGTCTGGCTTCAGCCGTCCTGGCGTTTCACTGATGAGCTCGGGACCCCTTTGACCTCTGGCAGAGGCAGTGCAGATTCGGCCGCCGGCGCCGCGGGTACAGACAGCCGACTGATGAGGTCGTGCCCGCCCGCAGGCCACCGCCGGCTGAGCGGCGCACCGCCAGTGGTGTTCCAGTAACCAGGATCCATAATGATGAACAAGTGAACAAATTTGATATGAGCTTTTATCGTACCGGTACCTACATAACTATATGTTTTCTTGTTGTTTGGCTCAGAAGAACCTACGTATTCAACCTTTTATTCTTTTACATAGGTACACATACCTAAATTAGAAGCCAAGACAAAAAAGAGCTGGCAAGTCCTCATCAAAAGTTTATTTTTGACTGAGCGATGTCCATTCAGTGGCAAACCGCACATCAGACATTTCTAATGCATCATTCAATGGCAGGACGTCATTCACGCTCTCTAAAGGGCCGCCATTCATCATACCATGCTCTGCTCAGCGGCCTACATCGAGCACGCATTCAACTTTTTCGCCATTGCACTATTCGATGAAGCACTGACCGATTGCCCCCCCCCCAACACACACACACACGTACCTTATAAACACAAATATCATGGTACGGCAGACGACAGCGAAACCAGCTCAGCCGGCTGTCCACAGAAGTCCATAGAAGGAAGGCATTCAATAAATAAGGAGCAAATGTAGTAAAAGTAGCATTGGTACCAGTCTACCTGTAGATCTACGGACAAAAACGAAACATTCACGTACGCTCCTGGCATTTGTGTATGGTATCCGAACTCGATAATTTGGTTCAAGTAGGAAGGCTATTGCTATTGCTACGCCTGCCCTCTCTCTCTCTCTCTCCCCCCTCTCTCTCTCTCTTTCTCTGTCTCCCCCCCTCTCTCTCTCTCCGCCGATCCTCTCACAATGACGTGTGAATGGCGTGCACGGCCCGACAGTGCAGTCAGTCGCCAGGAGGCTGGCCGGCGCCTCTCACTCGCCTCGCGACCGGTCTGAGGGGCGGACGGTGCTGCTCCGTCTGCGCCCACATAACACCACCAGCTCAGCCTGCAGCTGCTCAGCCTGCCCAGCCCGTGGAAACCGCACTCGACTCACCTACACAGGTCATTGGAGAGAAGTGTCACCTCAGGCGTGCGCGCTGAGTGGCGAGTCGTGTGGCAGTTCCCGTGACAGGATTAAGCCATTTCCGTTCGTTCGTTTTTCAGTGAGCGGCGCAGAGATTGGTTCGGCACCGGAGTGAGAGTCTCAGCTGCTGGTCGATTGCGCGTTCCAAAGCGGTGTTTTTCCCTAAAAAGTGGTGACGCTGTGACCATTTTGACGCGTGGTAGCCGACCTGCAGAGGTCCGTGCACTGCCATGGATCACAGCCGAGCAAAGTCACTATCTCGAGTGACGCTTCTAGCAGTGTTTGTCGCCTCTATCTCTGCAGCCAGCGCCGACCCGACCACCATCACCATCATCCACTACGAGTTCTCCGCCAACGACACCAGCGACTCGGTGGGTCTGATGCGCGCCCTGCAGCGGGCCCTCGAGGCGTACCCGGGCGCGCTGCTACTCAACCCCACCGGCCACCTGGGGAAGCGCCTCTGGATCCAGCACGACGCCACGGCGCCCAACCTCGCCGACATCGTGCAGCGCAAGCAGGCTCGACCGCTGAGCAGTCGCTCCGACCCGCTCATCGCGGCCAACATCCGCATCCCGGGACGCGCGCACGTGCGCCCCTCCACAGTGGCCACCGTGGGCGCCAGCGGCACGCGCGTCGGCCTCGTGGGCTTCGTGTCCGAGTCTGAGGGCGAAGAGCCGCAGGCAGCAGCGCTGATGGTGAGCGCCACTCCTCCGGAGGAAGCCGTTCGACGGGAGGCGCAGCGGATCAAGGGGAACAGCGTGCCGCTCGTGGTGGCGCTCGGGAACGCCGGCTACCCGGAGGACGAGGCGGTGGCGGCCAGCGTGGCGCAGGTGGACGCCGTGGTGGCCGCCCACGGAGGAGGGGACGGCTACCCGGTGGGAGTGCAGCAGGCCGGCGGGAAGGTGGTGCCACTGCTGCGCGCGCCGCCTGACACCGTCTGCGTGGCGCAGCTGATGTTCGGGGAGGATGGCGGTCTGCTGGACTGGGGAGGGTTCGTGGTGCCGATTGGAGATGAAGGGAAGGACGCCTGAGGGCGGCACATGGACGCAGTGGGTGGTGAGGAGTATGTACAATCACCGTGGTGAGGAGATTGCAGAGTGTATGATGGCTGCAGATGACAGGTGAATTGATGGACAAGATGCGAGGACAACGGCATTGTCAGCGATTTAAAAGTGATAGCAGTGAAGTCTAGTAGTCGCGATAAGTTTAAGCATGACTGAGCTTTTTCATCTGCAGCCTATTCCAAACCATGGCCAATCAATGACAGCATAAGTGAACTTCCAATGTACAGCCCTCAGCAGACTGCGTGGTAGGTATTCTTTTTCCGACAAAACTGATAATAATTCAAAAGCCATCTTATCAGTCGGTCGAAACTCACTGCAAATAGATGCGCCATGCTCCACTCCTTCGATTGGGCCTATCACTAAACAAAGTATACGCCCTTTGTGGCAACAAAATGTAAAAGTTCGTTTTGGGGGCAAATATGAACTTTTGGGTTTTGTTGCCAAACTGGATGGAAAATGCATACGGTGATGATGCCAATCTAAGCTGCGGAGTCCCGCGCATCTTGCTGTTACGATTTCCGAGTGGCCGATAGCATAATATTCGCGTTATTCTCGGTTTTGTCGAAAAAAAGAATTCCTACCACGCAGTCTGCAGAGGGCTGTACATGCATGTCGCCTGATTTGGACGTCGCAAACTCCATTTAGTGCCAATTGTTATTATGTTACGTGACTCAGTTCCAATGTCACATTGTTTCCCACGCTAACTGCGTTGTTGTTGCACCCATTGGACTCTGTTGTGCTGCCCTGACAACTGACAAGTTCCACAGAATCTGCCACGCCTCGGCCATGAGGCTATGACCAGATCGACCCACATCTGTTCCAAGAACCGCACGGCGACACGCCCAGTTTACGATCCTGTATAAAGACGGCTGTCTGTGATATGGACCGTCGTTTTTACATGAGTCATCGCAGATTGACCGAGACCAGACCGAGACTTATGCCTTAGCAATACTTGACACAGCGAGCGATGTCTTAATGACGTGTGACGGCAGATAAGTCGGCTTACCTAAATCGCATGGCCATGACAGAGAACCAGTCTCATATGAGCTCTCCTCGAGGACGAGATGTTTCTGAGGAGGCGCATGACGGCCACGTGGTTGGCGGGCGTCAAACTCCAACAAACACTGAGTGGCGAGAGTTTGTTTTGTGATCCCATTGAACATTCTCGTCTTCTCTGATTACTTGGCATGCTAAAGTGCTCTGCAGTTCCAACTGACGATTTTCAAAGCCTGTCCATCGGTCACCGTGATTGAACGGTAATCAACTCCATCAAAGCCTCGGCAGATGAAAGACGTCCTGATAATGCCAACCACCGCAGACGGCGCTCCGTCTAAACCGCCTTTCACCGCGGCTCGGTTCGACTGGACGCAATCGGGTCGTGTCATCCCTAAATGGCAGCTGACCCAGGCCAATTCGGAGGGGGTGTGTTACACAAGATGGGCGTGCCGCGGCCCCGGCGCTGAGCTAACGGAGCCGCCCGCACTTCTAAAGGAGACGGGTGAAAACAGTGCAGTGTCGGTGGGCTCCAGGGATGGCAGCAGTACGGTAGGGTACGTTACACACTGTGACATTTTGTCATCGTGCATTACATATGGTGCTTACGAATATACGATGCACGGTGTTCATGAAGTTATGAGCGTTGTCACTGAATATAATCGCACAGCTGAGCTAATGTTGGAAACACGGGTTGAAGCCGTACAAAGCTTAGGTCTCACACGGCCTTGTGCGAGTTCATAAGGAGCATTTGGTACTGCAAAAAATAGGTATACCTCTACGTATTTTTCACACAAATCTTATGCATGCAAATTACAGGGTAGTTATCTGCTCTAGCGTTTCCTTTTGATCGAGGCTTCCCTACTCATTGAGTCGTGCAATGCTGTCATCAGGTTTTCTTTCATCGCCGTTATAAACAATGTCTATTAATTTCATCATTCAACAAGGGCGCGGGAACTATACTTTCAGACTTGGGGGGGGGGGGGGCACACCATAATAGAGAATAAAGAATAGAATGAGGGAGAGGTGCCATGAAATGATTCCCATACGAATGAGCTTGCCACAAAAGAGCTAGTGTTGTTTGAGCTATAGCTCATTTGGGCTAGTGCCACAAAATGGCTAGTGCGATTGTAACTAGTCCTACAAATTGTTTATTGATTGTTTATTGAACACTTAAGAACCCATCCATACAACATGGCTATTCCTGAGTTCGTGTCATAGGAGGTGAAAAAGTAAATACAAGGGGATGGTGACGCAATCAAGCACACATAAAAAAATACATAGCCCACAAGCACGCATACTTTCTAAAATTGGCCCAGACGCCGTTTCACATTCCTTTTAAAAGCGCCCGGTGGTTGCTCCCTGACAGCGAGAGGCAGGGCATTGAAAGCCGACACAGCACGGTACAAAAATCTCCTTCGGCCGGACTCGGATCTTATCCGTGGAAGAGCGAGGTCTGCGTCCTGCCGTGTGTTGCGCTCTCTCCCCTCTCCTACTGTGGAGAGCTGCTCGGCGATATCCTGAGGAGCGCCGGTCACCAACATGCGCTTGAGTAGGCACAGAGTGTGGTAAGTGACCAGTTCACGAGCCGGGAGCCAGGTGAGAGTTCTGAGTGCGTCACTCACGCGGTCATGCTTGCGCCGCCCCGTAATAACTCGTGCACCGAAGTTAATCACCTTTTGAACACGAGACATGTTTTTGGCGACCGCAGTACCATAGACACTGATACAATATCTCACGGTTGACAGAACCAATGCGTTGACAATAGTGATGAGAGTCTCTTTCGGTAGTCTATATCTGGCATGACTAAGACCTATGAGAAGGCCAGTACATCGTCCGACAAGCTGATCTATATGGTACTCGTAAGACAGCGTGCGGTCCATTACCACGCCCAAGTTTTTGACGCGATCACTCTCGTGGATGGTACTGCCGCTCACGGTAAGGGTAACAGGCGGAACACCTCGTAACATTTGGCGCGTACCCAATACTATAAGCTGCGTCTTGCTGGAGTTCAGTTTCAAGGAGTTTTGCATAAACCAGCGATGCAGGGTGTTAAGTGCACACTCCATGCGATGGACCAGTGATGCGATGTCACTTTTTCTGCCCGTAACGAGGAGCTGAGTATCATCAGCGTATTGAACGATGGTCACCTCGCTCTCTACGTACAAACTGATGTCGTTCGAGTACACGGTGTACAGCAAAGGTCCGAGCGAGGTACCTTGGTACACTCCAATCGGGTTTCTCATCGGTTTGGAGGTCACCTGTTCGTTCTGTGGCGAGCTCATCCGAACGTATTGAAAATGATCCGAAAGATAACTTTGGAACCACTCAGTGTTCACTCCATAAAGTTCGAGTTTTTGAAGCAGTTTGGCGTGATTCACAACATCAAAACATTTACTCAGGTCTAACAAGACAAGAAGACAGATATGACCCTGATCCATGGCCTGATGGATGCGATCGGTAATTTGAATAAGTGCCGTTTCGGTAGAATAGTTTCGGCGAAAGCCATGTTGGGCGGAAGCAAGAAGGCAGTTGTTAACGAAGAAAGAGTACAACTGTTCGTGAACTAGCCGTTCTATGATCTTTGAGAGACAGGGCACAAGCGATATAGGGCGAAAACTAGATGGGTCGGTGAGAGCACCGACTGACTTGTAAATGGGCTGTATCACGGAGAGCTTCCACGGCGTAGGTACTGTACTGGTGACCAAACTAGTGTTAATTACGCAAAGGATCACATGTGCTATCGCGTCAAAGCAGGATTTCAAAAACTTCATCGTAATCCCGTCTGCATCACACGCCCCGCTGCCGTTCATGCACAGTACCGTAGCACGCAGCTCTCCCATAGTGACAGGTCTCACACGGAACTGAGCGGTGGAGACACGGGGGAGTCGAACAGGCAGCTCACGGAAATCGGGGGGACGCGCGACAGTAACAGATTGGGCCGTTTTTACACCGATCTCCGTAAAAAACGCATTCAAGGCGTCAGGGGCCACATCCGGTAGTTTGTGGCCGGCGGCCTTTCCACTTATAATGCCCCGCACGCAACGGAACATGGCCGATCTAGGAGCAGCTAGGAGCAAAGCAGCTAGGAGCAAAATGACTAGTGTTGTAAAGGGCTAGTAGATCGGCTCACGCCGTACCTCTTTGGGATTTTATAAGCAAAGTTCAGTTCAGATCAGATCGGTCACTAAAAAGGTCGTAATATTGAAAAGACAGAAACATACGACTCAGATTTTATTCTCAAACGTTCATCGAAATGTGGTATGCAACTCCGCGAAGAAACTCCTGCCTGTCTAGTGTCTATGATGTCTTTTGTGAGACGGCGAATGAGGGCCTTAAATTCGTTTATTTATATCGGCATAATTTCTCTCTTGTTTTTGAACTTCGTTTCCTGCTTTGAATTTGTAAAGTTCGGCAGCTTGCAGCGCTTCTCCTTTTGGAATAGCGACCAGAAAACGCCAAAGTGACGGGTGTGGCGAGTCCACCATTCCTTGGATTGCCCTGTGCCACCCTTCAATTTTGTTGTTGGTCCTCGGCATTCCCTCTTTGGTGCGAATCCTGACATTCCATATGTCTTTTCCGAAATATTTGTGCTCTGCTCTACTCCCTCCGTCCCTGCCTCCCAATGTATCTTCAAAGTAATTGTAATAGGTATCTTCAAAGCTCTTTGCGCCACTAGCTCTCCTTGGGACTAGCTCTTATAAGTTACTAGCTATTTTAACATTAGCTTTTACATCACTAGCTCTTTTGTAGCACTAGCTCAAACGTACTAGCTCAAATGACACTAGCTGTTTTGTCGCTAGCTATTCGGACACGAGGCCCATGAAATAAGCTGAATAGCTTTTGCACCAATCCCACACTACCTTATGTCTATATATGCGAAAATATTCAATAAAATCGAGCAAACAACAACAACCTAGGGTACCCCCAAATCTAGTTTTCTCATCGGTTTTAGGCCGCTTATTTTTCATCTCTTGGTTTCTTCAACAAAAAAGAAAACATTTGCAAAAAATTGCGGTATTTCGTTTCAAAATTGTGGGGGCACCGCCTCCACGGCCCCACTCCCAGAGTTGAGGGGGAGGACAAGCTGCCCCCACAGACCCCCCCCCCCCCGGTCCCGCGCGGCGGGCCGCGCCCTGCCATTAAGTTCAGATATTAATCAACATTCAAGCACTGACTCTCCCTGCGCTGCCGACCAGCTATGCTGTTGCTCAAGTCTGTATGTAGGTACGCGTTTTTCACACGCCAGGTTTGTTCGTCCGACCTGCCCTAGGTACACTGTAAAAAAAGTTTAGCACCATAGAGGTACTTTTCAATTGACTAATTTTCAGTACCCTAGCGGTGCTAAGCTAAGCATTTTATTCGTACTTAACTGAGATCTAGTTTAGTATCAAGGTGCTAATATAAGTACCCATATGTGTTTAGCACCCGTGTACTAAATGTAGTACCCTACAACTGCTAGACCAATTTTCAGTACCCTAGCGGTGCTAAACTTTAAAAGGTACTAAGAATAGCATGCAGTTAGTACCTTCCGTACTCACATACAGACATGTGCATGGATCCGAGTGATGGATCTATGATCTCAGTGGATCTCGAAGCAAAGTACAGGTTGGGATCTATGATCCCACCGGATCCGGCGTGAAAAATACATCTTGGATCTATGATCTCATATGATCTGACGATAAATTAAGAACATGGATCTATGATCTGAGTGGATCCCACCATGCACCACATTTGAAACCACGTTTTAAAGGGTTTCTATGCCAATAAGTGAAACAAAACTATGGATTATGACGTGCGATCACATAAAATCACTAAAACAGAACGTTTGTGAGTTGAAACAAGTGCTTTTTTGGGATAGATGTGTTAACAAAAAATAAGTGAGGATCTATGATCTCACTGGATCTCAAGCAAAAAATGAGACTCGGATCTGTGATCCCTATGGATCTCTCGATAAATTACAGAGCTGGATCTATGATCCCGACGGATCCGAGATCAGGATCCGTGGGATCAGATCCCAGATCCATTTTCTCGGATCCATGCACATGTCTGCTCACATATGAACCGTTTTAGCGCTATTGTTACCCCACGACAAGTAGAATAATGCTAACGAAAGCATTGGGGCTGAAAGAAGAATATCTATACTAGTTAAAGCTGCTGCATGGAAAGTTCGCAAAAACTGCTTTCTTTAGCAGCACATACTTTCACTAGTTACTGCAAAAAGGACTAATCAATTACCAAAAAGGAAATTGTGTAAGGCCGAAAAGACGTGCAAAAAAGTTTATATCCTAGATAAGTGATAACTACAAGTCTCAATGATTGTGTTTTGCATTCTGCAATATTCCCGTGTAAGTGCATCTTTCAAGCATCCAACACATTATAAAATTAAAAAATAATAATGGAACATTTATTAACACTTCATATCATCTGCATGAAAAACAAATGTAAATATATACACAAACAAACGCACGGGAAATAACGAAAGGTCGCTCATATAGGTACCTGCACACTCGCAGTGACCGACGATTAACGTGAGATCGACTGGGGGAGGCGGGGGGGGGGGGGTCGTTGAACCGACGTTCCGTTCTAGGTATATAGGTATATAGGTATATATAGGTATAGGTTCTATATATATATATATAGGTATATAGGTATACTGACTCGGGTG